TAACCAGGGCATTTTTTAACTATATAACTGGGGGGGCCAAAGCCCCCCCAGCCCCCATGGTGCCCCCCCCACTCAACCATTTTGCCCCCCCCAGTCAAAGTCCCTTTTCTCTAAAATATAAGCAAAACATGGAATTTAGAAGGGAGGTTTGATATTCTAGTAACTGAAATTTGCTTTGTGAATCTTATGTCCTGTCTTTTATGTTTAATAAATACCTTATTAGATTTTAAACATTTCCCAGGCAGTGGCATGCATTTCCCAGACCCTATAGAGTTTGAGTTGTTGGACAAGTTAGTGACCGCAGGGGGCAACAGGCCCTTAACCAAGTGTTTTATAGGGGGGGGATAATTTTGGCCCCCACCAAAAAAAAAAAATTTGATAATCATTCATTTTTCAAAATCATGCAGACCTTTATTATTTAATCCATGACAAACTGCAAAGAGTGAAGATATTACCCATACTTTCCTGCAACTTATCCAATGTATCGTTAATTCAATACACCTTCGTCCATTTAGTACTACTGAATTCTAAATTTCCACAAACTAAAAACGCTGTTTTCTGACAATCAGAAATCTGTCAAATCTTCCCCAAAGTACAGGAAATGGCATTTCAGAGACTCTAAATTTAAAAATTTCCTCGGGCCTTCGGCCCTCGCTTTCAGCCCCCCCAAACGAAAAGAGCTTCCTACGGCCCTGCTCTCCCCCCTCCCCCTACTATTAAATGCGATACCACACCAAACGTTTTGTTACCAACAAACCATCTATCATTGCTCCACACTCGGTATAGTATGGTCCCTTTTTGTAGATGGCCCCCCCACTGACGAATTCTTAAAAAATGCCCTGTCATGACAACCATTACGACGTCATCACCAGTACGCCTGCCTTCCTTGCCCGTAAACAGTATTGTCATAAATGCAAGAAGGGCTACGACAAGATTACTGACCATCCGTGTGGCGATCTGTGCAAGCTGTGTCATACCCAGAACTGTCCCATCGTTGAATGGAAATTTTGCAAAGACTGTAACCGGTTCTTTAAAAGTGACGAATGCTTCAACCGCCATAAAGATGACGCTGGTCCTGCCAAATCCCTGTGCTGTGCTCTAATTAAATGCAAGAAATGCAAACGTGTGGTTACTCGTGCCAGTCTTCGCGATCATCATTGTGGCAAAGTCAGATGTTCCACCTGTCAAAAGTACGTCAAGCCTGAAAACCATCAATGCTATCTTCAACCTGTAAAGGCGAAGAAGACACGATCCACTGAAGAACGAAACGATTTGCTCGATGATGATGTGGCCGTGGAAAACGACGTAGAAGACACCAAAAACTTAATGTTCTTTGACTTTGAGTGCACGCAAGACGATGGTAAACACGTCCCCAATCTCTGCGTAGTCCAGAACGAAAGCGGTGACGAGAAAGTCTTTTCTGGGCCAAACACGAAAGACGAGTTTTGCGAGTGGATGTTTCAGCAGGAAAACGCGAATACGACGTTTGTCGCACATAACTTTCAGGCTTACGACGGGTACTTTATTCTACAATACCTTTACAAGAATGGTGTCACTCCAGAAATCATTACCCGTGGCGCAAAAATCCTTTCCCTCACTGTCCCCGAAATGAACATCAAGTTTATTGATTCTCTCTGTTTCATCCCAATGAAACTCGCCGCCTTCCCGAAAACGTTTGGTCTCACAGAGCTTCAGAAAGGTTACTTCCCTCATTTCTTTAACCGTGCTGAGAACCAAGACTACGTGGGACCTCTTCCAGACTCGAAGTTCTACGATCCTGATGGCATGAGCAGCGATGACCGCGAAAAGTTTTATTCATGGTACAACGAGCAAGTCCGGCGTCAGTACGAGTTCGACTTTCAAGCCGAAATTCTTCGATATTGTCAATCCGATGTGGACATTTTGCGTCGCTGCTGTCTCGAGTTTCGCGAACTTTTCAGCCAAATCACAGATGTTGACCCTTTTGCCTCTTGTCTCACCATTGCTTCTGCGTGTAATCTCGTCTTCCGTAAAACGTTCCTCCAGGAGAACACCATCGCCGTCATTCCTCCTTGCGGGTACAAGCCTGAAAACAAACAGTCCGTCATTGCCTTGAAGATGCTGGCCTGGGTCGCTCAACGTGATAACACCGTCATTCGCCACGCCCGGAACCACGGAGAGCAGCGCATTGGCAAGTACTTTGTCGATGGTTTCAACGTTGAAACAAACACTGTTTGGGAAATTCAAGGATGCCTGTGGCATGGATGCGAAAGATGTTATGCTAGAGATACCGTGAATCCGATCAACCATATGACCATGCAAGATCTTAAGCAGCGAACCCTCGAGAAAATCCAATTCCTAAAGGATAACGGACATAATGTCGTAGAGATTTGGACGTGTGATATTGAGCGTCAACTTGCCACTGAACCCGAAATGAAGGATTTCATCGACAATTTCGAGATTTCTGAACCTCTTGAACCTCGTCATGCATTCTTTGGTGGAAGGACTAACGCAACACGCCTATATTACGACGTCCAGCCAGAAGAGAAGATCCGCTATGTGGATTTCTGCAGCCTATACCCATGGTATGTATCTTGTTGAAGTCCTTTAACTCAAACGTGTTTGCCGTTAACCTTCTTAAACATTTTTTAGGTGTAACAAATACGGCGAGTATCCGATTGGCCATCCCAAGATTATTACTGAGAACTTTCAACCTATCAGTGACTACTTTGGTTTGGTGAAATGTTCTGTGCTTCCTCCTCGTGCCCTATACCACCCCGTCCTCCCTTACCGTACTCAGGGTAAATTGATGTTCCCGTTGTGTCGTACCTGTGCCGACAACCTTCAGCAAGAGCCCTGCCATCACAGCGACGCCGAGCGAACACTTCATGGAACGTGGGTGACTTTGGAGCTCGAGAAAGCACTAGGAAAAGGCTACAAACTGATGAGAGTCGACGAAGTTTGGCACTTCCCCGAGCACACAGATGGACTGTTTAAGGACTATATTGATACATTCCTAAAAATCAAACAAGAGGTAAGGTTTCTTCACATGTGTGATATTGTCACATTATTAGTTCCTTATTATTCCTTTCCCTTTTGCAGGCGAGTGGCTTTCCTCCAGAATGTGACACCGATGAGAAGAAGGGACAGTACATCGCTGATTACGCCGCAAAAGAAGGTATTCAGCTGGATCCAAGACAAATTGTGAAGAATCCTGGTCTGAGGGCGTTGGCGAAGCTCATGTTGAACTCTTTTTGGGGTAAGTGCAATGGCAAATTGTCCACTAACGATACTTGGGAAAAAACAAGTGTTTGTTAAAAACCTATCATTTCTTGTAGGAAAGTTTGCGCAACGACCCAACATGACCAAGGTAAAAATCATATCGGATCCAGCTGAATATTTTGACCTCCTATCCAGCGATCAGATTAACGTCACCGACGCGAACTTCATTAACGACGAGCTCATCGAAGTCCATTTTGAAAACGTTGACGAATTCGTGGAAGCCGACGGAAAGACAAATGTGGTCATCGCAGCGTTCACCACAGCCCACGCCCGCCTCAAGCTCTATGGTGTCCTGGAGCAGTTAAATCGCCGAGTCTTATATTTTGACACAGATTCAGTTATCTACGTTTCAAAGGAAGACGAATGGGAGCCGCCGACGGGATCCTATCTTGGTCAACTAACGGACGAGTTAGATGGAGGTTACATTACAACCTTTGTGTCTGGAGGTCCTAAAAACTATGCCTATGAGACAAGCACAGACAAAACAGTATGCAAAGTTAGAGGGATCACCTTAAACTACAGAACTGCACAAAAGGTTAATTTTAATTTAATGTGTGATATGGTCTGTTTAGAAGCGTTGTCTGATCTCACAGACAGCATAACTGTAAATATACCCTACAAAATAAATAGAGACACTAAAGAGAAAAGTGTAAAAACAAGGAGTGAGAACAAGGACTATCGTATTGTATATAATAAACGTGTGATTGTAAATAATTTTGATACATTACCTTATGGTTTTTAAATTAATAAATGATTTCAAACATTAAAGCTATGTGTGTAAAGGTACAACTGCGGGGATTTTCTCCCTAGAGGAACTATCGCCTATGATATGGACTAATGTTGGTAATTATGTTTCCATGGGGACATTCATCTGTGCCGGGGACGTCCGGGGACAAAAATTAGTCCCCGGAGGGACTAAGGGACATTCGACTGTATTAGGGAATACTGTTGGTAATTATGCCCCCATAGGGACATTCTTATGTGCCGGGGACGCCCGGGGACAAAAAATTATTCCCCAAAGGGACTTTCTAAAGCGACAATCGGCTATAATAGGGACTATGTTGGTAATTATGTTTCCATGAGGCCATTCGTCTGTGTCGGGGACTTCCGGGGACAATCGGCTATAATAGGGACTATGTTGGTAATTTTGTCCCCATGGGGAAATTCTTATATGCCGGGGACTTCCGGGGACAAAAATTAGTCCCCGGAGGGACTTTCTAAAGGAACAATCGGCTATAATAGGGACCAATGTTGGTAATTATGTTTCCATGAGGACATTCGTCTATACCGGGGACATCCGGGGACAAAAATTAGTCCCCAAAGGGACTATTTAGGCAGTGGTATGCTCGGAAACATTCATTTGATAACATGCCTCGAACGCGTAAGGTCTGTCCCATGTGCGGAAAGAAAGGTTTATTAAAATTATCTAATCATTTAACCAATGTTCATAAACTATCTACTCAAGAGAGACAACCATACCTTATTCGTGCTAGGAAAATGCCTATTGATAAAGCAACGGTATTGGTCGAGTTGCAAAAGATAAATAGACTGATCGAAAAGTATCTGCTTTCATTTTCATCATGTACTCCATACAGTTAAGACACCCGTTTGGGCTTCTCGTTTCTGGCGGTACAAAATCAGGCAAAACCACCTTTGTGAAAAAGCTTCTCAGCTATGCCAATGTGCTGATTGATCCAACGCCTGAAAACATTATTTACTTCTATGCCGAATATCAAGACGCTTTTGGAGAAATACAAAATTTAGTGCCTGGTATAAAATTCATACAAGGCTTGCCGGATAATATAATGGACAGTATCAATCCAGAAACGCGCAATTTGTTCATTATTGACGATATGATGGGTGAGAAGGACGGAGTGATTTCTAAATTGTTCACGAAAAAATCGCACCATGGTAATCTAAGCGTAATCTACATTGTGCAAAACTTGTTTCACCAGAGCAAAGAGCATCGCACAATATCTCTCAATGCAAGTTATTTATGTTTAACGAAAAATGTTCGCGATGCAAGTCAAATTACTCATCTCGCTAAACAGCTATACCCGAGTCAAACGAAGTTTTTCCAACAAGCTTATCAATTGGCAACAAAAGAACCTTATTCTTATCTATTTGTCGACTTAACTCCTACATGTCCGGACGAGATACGGATTCGATCCGGGATCTTTCCAACAGACACGCATTATGTCTATCAGCCCAGAGTATAAAAATGTGGGAACGTGTGTAAAATGTTCATTTGATCATGTCTGCTTGTATGAAGAGGAACTCCGAACTTCTGAAAGTATTGGCCAAGTGCAAACCCGAACTGAGAAAAGCTATTTTGAAAGCGGCTGAAGACGATTTATTCGAAGCGATAAGACAGTGTCTATTAAACGTTTGGTTTGAAACGGTTAAACTGAAACCGAAAACAGCTAAAAAACTTGCACCGCATTCCAAGCATATAAAGTTTGCGGCTGACAAAAGAAATCCTGTCGTAAAAAGAAGAACACGTCTAGTCCAAAAAGGGGAGGGTTTCCTACCGTTTCTACTCACTTCAGTTTTGGAACAGTTGGCTAACTTTTTATAATGGAACACGTCAAGCGACTAGTCCTTGTCCCTGAACATATGGCTGAACAGCGAAAGAAACCTCTCGCGGCGCCTTTGGCGACACAGGTTAACGAAATAGACTCAGACATGCAGGATATTATTCGACGACAAGATATACCAATTGATGAAAAGGCAAAGTTATACGACCAGAATCTACAACGCTATTTAACCTTTTATGATAAACGAATGAATAAACCTCTCCGAGTAAACGTGACGCACACCGATAAACCTGAAGACCCTCAAGGAGAACAGCCGAGTGAAGAGACTGAACCTTCAGACGAGATTGAAACAGATATCATGGACAGTGTACCAGCTACTATGAAGTCAAGAGCTCGACAACTCATCAAAAAACTCAAGTCAAATAAAGATCTTGTTGGTTGGAATGAACAAGGCCAGATGGTGTTCAAAGGAAGATCGGTTCCTAGCACAAATATAATTGATTTGGTGAATGATTCTCTACGTCAAAGGAAGAATTTCAACCCCGACGGCTGGGAATTGTTTTCAAAAGTTCTCGGGCATTTGAATGTACCCGAAGGTATTGTGAGAAACGAAAACCGTCTTGGAATTGTTCGCGAATATAAAACCAAAGGTATCCCGGAAAATCTACCCACCACCCCTCGAGTGCAAGAAAAGAGAAAAAACCGTAGAGACAATATTAGTAGTCCATATAAATGGTTAAAATAATTTATTTCTTGTAAGAGAAAATTTTACAATAAATGTATTTAAAACTAAATCTAGTGTTTGTACCACTTGTCTATAAAATCACGCACAAGCTCATCATTCCATTCTTTGCTATCCGTAAACATATTTGCAATGGTTGACATTGGAATACGTCTACATCGATGTAAAGCAAAGAATAATGTATATTGTCCACACACGTCTGATGAAGGGGCTTGCAAAATTCTTCTGTTCCATGTAAATGTAGCGCAATGCTTGTCCAAAAATTGAGTAAAGTTCTGATTGTAAAATCCAGGAGCCTGGCCATACGAATCCCAAAATTCCCCTTTACCATCTTCTGTAAGGTACATTGCAATCCAGTGTGATCCGGGCATATCCGATGCGTCCGTGTTAAGTATGTACCCTCTAGGCCTCTTTCTTATTTCGCGAGGTAAACGATCTGACGGTAAAACGTCCGTAAACACCGTTTTTGTAAATGGATCATTCTTGAGAATGTTCATAATCTGCAGCGAGTTCATCTTCAGTTGTTGAAATCACACAGCACGTTTCGGTTCGCATCAATTTCGATAAGACTTTGAAATTCACCAAGTACCACGATATTTATAGCTGTCTCCAACGGTGTTCCAAATCGACATTCAATTGACACATTTCCGTTCTTAATCGGTTGTACATGATCACCAAGGCATAAGTCAGGAGTGAGGTCAAACACAAACAGTGTATAACCGTTTGCATATTCTTCACGCGTTATACCATTACCCTGATTATCAAAAATCTTGTGTGCGCCGGCGTACAGGGTTTGAAAAGCAGAAATGTAATTACTGTCTGCTCCGAATTTCAACTGTAGTGGTTTTCCAGGTAAGTTCTCTCCGTTGACAGTGAGACCCATGGTTGTGATATCATAATTTTTAAAATTGAACGGATTCTTCGTATATGTACCGTTAAAGGCATCCGCGTCGACCATTCCAATCACGATACGATTTGGTAAACCACCTTGAAATATATTAGGTTGATTTCCAGACATATTCCCTCGAGGTACGGAGACAACCTTGCAGTCGATCCTGTTGATTGGGTATTTGGCGGTGATTTGTTGAAGGGACTGGGAATGAGCCAGTATAATACTAGGGCTACGTTAACTCGTCGTACACGAAACAAACATTCCTCGATGACCACTTTGAAATTGGGATCTTCTGCGGATGATACCAAACAAAACGGATCTCTAGATCTCACCAACTTGATCTTGATTGGAACAGCACCAAGAATATAACGGTCTTGCGCGAATAGATCAGAATGAAGTCTTCCTTCCATGGCGACAGATTTGCTTTCACGTGTATATGCATGGCGTTGTTTTAATCCCGTGTTGACGTTGGCATCTTGTGCGAGAGGATTTACTACATCCATCTTTCCAGCTTTATCTTTATAGAACAGTGCTGAGGTCAAATGTGAATCTTTGGCGTCTTTACTAAAGTTCAGGATCGTTTCGATATACGCTCGGTAAGGGTATGCTGTGCTTGATGGGGTGACCAGTTTGTTGTTCAGAAATACTTCAACTTGTGAGAATAATGCATGCATCCAAAGGTTTGAAGGTCCAACTTGAATGTCTGCACCCACATTTCCTCCGGCCGCAGTAGCGATCTTTGCTTTAACGTATAGGTAACTGCTTGCTAAGTCGGTATAAACACCAGAATTTGCAGCACATAAAAATTCTATCGTATCTGAAGAAGATATACTCGTAATAGGATCAACAGCTTCCCAAAATCCCTTTTCCATTACCACTTGAGTCGGTGGAATAGAAAATAGATCAAGTTCAGATTTTGAACACATACAAGAGTCTTTATGCATTGTTTCAAGAGCCATGCCACTTTGGACTATAGTTATCGAGAGATGTTTTCTGCTTCTTGGTTGGACCGCGAATGGGCGTTTTAGCTGGCGCTGCTCTTTTTATACCCTTTTTGCGACCCTTTCCGGTCATTACTTTCTTGGCAACATCAGATACTGCTTGTTTTCCTCGTGTTTTAAAAGCTTCTTTTACATTGTTTCCTTGGAGTACATCTTGACCGACTTCTGTGGCTGCTTGCAATGCTCTTTTACCAACAACTTTAGCACCTTGCTTGAACAGAGGGATAGCATATCTCGCAAGGCTCTTAAAAATACTTCCGATTCCATATCCCCTTTGCATACGTGCACCACGAAACCCTGCGATATTCCCACCACGTTGTTGTCTCAAAAAATGGTCTTTCAATAGTTTAGCATCCACAACTAGTCTTCCGCGCATTTTTAGATAAAGTACTGAGATCTCTTCTGTCTAAAGTGAAGTGTTGCGATTGACTTCCCGAACTCAAATGAGACGTTTTCGTTTTGGTCATTCTTTATATTCACTTCAATGGTCTCAAAAGAATTTACTTTGACCGGTACGTATTGCAAATTACGAAAACTGGCGTGAATGGTGTTTCCATATTCCCCTTCGATATTAACGATTCGTAGTAAAGGTACTTTCACATCGCCCACAAACTGTGCATCAACGATATCAGTATAGACATACATGGAGGAAAATCCACCATTGATATCTGCAGGATAGGGACTCGACGGTTTCTTTTCAATAAGTGTGTCCTGGTCAAATCCCAAGACCGTTGCTAATTCTCCGGTAAACCACACAGTTGTGTCGTGTTTTACATCAACCAAAACTTTGCGAGAACTACGATTATAACTAAACTTCACTTTCGTTTGTGTTTCTTTTGACATGCCGGCATTGAGTGCTTTTGCTAGTTGCTCAATAGAAGAATATTGTGTTTCTTTAAGCACGACAGTTTGATAAGGGTTACTGCCAATTTTATACAAAAACGTTTGTTGCACTCCACGTTTTAGCGTGCTCCACGTATGTGGATAATGCAGTTCCGTCAATGCGACTTCCCATTGTCCTGGCAATACAATGGTTTCAGCCAATTTCACTCAAAAATTCGCTACCGTATTATTTGGAAAATAGGCTAACGAACTATTACTCGGTAGCGTGAGATAAAACTGTGTTGCCATGTTGAAGACCAATACACAAATGAACACAACTGATATGTTTCAAATACATTTATTTAATATCTTTTACACTCTCTGCTGGTACCCAATCATTTTACAAAATACTCTTTACGTTTATTACGCATGCGTGATCTAAGTACTTCTTCGACTCTATAATAATCACTGTCTGATTTGTTGACTTTCTGAAGTTCCTGCTCGTAAAATGTTCCTTTCAATTCTTCGTCATCAAAATCAGCGAGCTTGTACACGGGTGGGCGTCGAAGAACACGTTTGGTTATCGTAAATACTTCCTCGGTCCAATTAGGTAGGTATCCTTTCTTAAATGTGCGCCTTGCTTTGCTGATTCGTACTTGGTCGCCAATGTTAAACTTAAACCGAACGGATTTGTCTGACTCTTCTCCATAAAGTTTTTGCCACACAATGCTCTCCGTTTCATCAAAAGTCAAACTTCTCAGCATGTGCCGAATGCATTAAAAACAATTATATAATGAGGTAGGCGCCTGATTGTGTATTGTCTTTAATGCATTCGGCACATGAAAAGTTCGACGTTTAAAACGGGCCTTAGTGAAATCAATGAAAGTCATGAGTTGTCCGGCCATCTTAATGTAGAGGCTTATAAACAGGATTTAGCCAAAATCCTTCAAAACCAACCTCAAGATGGCGACCCAAACATACTTTGGGAGGACTGGAAAAGAACATTTTTATTAGTGGCGGATATGCATGCCCCTCCAGTTACCAGGAGAGTGCGGAGTGAGCATGCACCTTGGTTAACATCGGAAATTAAAAAGAAAATCTATGACAGGGATTTTTTAAAGAAAAAGTCAATCAAAACTGGATCTACTCATTTCTTGTAATGCATATAAAAAAGCTAGAAAGCAATTAAATAGTTTGATAAAATCTACCAAGGCCAAGTATTATAATGAAGCGTTGAACCAGTGTAGAAAAGACCCGAAAACAATGTGGAAAACTATAAATCAATTAACAAACACAAAATCTAAGACGACAAATAATAATGAATTGATAATCAACCAAGAAATCGTAACAGAACCAGAGAAAATAGCCGATTCCTTGAATACCTATTTTAATGAGATTGGTACTGTTTTGGCTAAAGATCTACCAAAAGGCAATATTCATTTGAAACGTATGTCGTCCCTACCGATAAATCATTTGAAATTAATAGATTTTCATCAATTAATGTCAAAAATGTAATTTCGAAAATTAATACTTCTAAGGCAACTGGACATGATCGAATATCGCCGAAACTTTTATGAAGGATAGTGCCGATATTATAGCTGAGTCGCTTACCGTTATTTTTAATAAGTCGATAGAAACCGGCATTTTTCCTGCCGATTTAAAGGTGGCGTGCATATCCCCCATATATAAGGGAGAAAGTAAGACAGAATGTAGCAAGTACAGACCAATATCTGTCATATCTGTAGTTGCTAAAGTATTTGAAAAACTAGTTTCAGGACAACTCATGGAATATCTAGAAACCTATCAGTTGCTGTTAGAGTGTCAAGCTGGTTTTAGGAAGAGAAGTTCGACTGTAACTTCTCTCCTTACTAATACGAACCAGTGGTATATAAATATGGACAAAGGACTTTTAAATGGCATTATATTTCTTGACTTAAAAAAAGCCTTTGATTGTGTGGACCATGCTATTTTGATAGAAAAATTAAAAAAGATTGGCTGTGTTGGTAATACTTTAAATTGGTCAAATCATATTTTACGAATAGAAAACAGATGTGTAAAGTTAACCAAACGACATCAAAATGTCAAACAGTTTCTTGCGGAGTACCACAAGGCTCTAATCTTGGGCCAATATTATTTCTGCTATACGTAAATGATTTGCCAAATTGTCTAAAATCAACAACAGCCAGCATGTTTGCAGATGACACTAATCTGACAGCGAGTGGTAGCACATCAACTAAGTTGTACAATAAATTAAGTAATGATTTAGAAAATATACATCAATGGTTGTTGGCTAACAAATTAACACTTAATACGAGTAAAACTGAATACATGATTGTTGGCTCCAGACAGAGACTAGGCAAAATAGATGATGAAGCTGAAATTAAATTGGGAGATAATAAAATAAAAAAAGTTTCAGAAACAAAAACTTTAGGTGTTATTGTAGCCCGCGTGCAGGCCCAAGGGAACTGATAGTGGGCCTGCAAGCAAGGCCCGGTATTTTGTAAAACGCCCTTTTCATAACACGCCGCATTCGCGCGTCAATTGTCAAAAAAGAACCAATGACAACACCCAAATATTAACAAACAAACTCGCATTAAAATGTTGCGGGGTTTTCTCTGCTTATTCAGAACATAAACAATGTGTAAATGGCTGTGTTTTAACTCCAAAAAAGCAAGCAACGCAGTCAGTAATTGCTAAATTTGCAAGTGCTCATTTCAACTAAAATCGGAACAGGCAAATTAGGACGAATTTCAACAGAAAACCAGTCTCAAACTTCAAATCGTGAGGGAAGTCGTGCGACCAAATTAGCATTTATAATATGTGCTTCGCTGTCGCCGTTGTTATAAAATAAATTGTCTCACTTATCAGATCGTGTGTGCAATTCTTGTTGGCGGCGGAAAGTACGAAATTTATTTCAGTTATTTCATTTGGTAAAGAACTCTACAAAAGACGAGAGCGTTCAGAGTCCAGATGTTTCAAACGGCAATTAATACCGTCTTCTGTTTCGCTCTCTCAGCGAAGCCTTGTAAATCGCAAAGTGTTTCGAATAGGCTTACATGCCACTGCCTCTAAATCTTCACCGCGAAAAGCGCTGTTTTCTTCAGTGCAAGAACAGAGTCAACATCAACCATGGCAAATGATAATTTTCTTGAGGAACATATAACGTATCAAGTCTGTTTGAAATTAATGAAACTCAAGTAAAGGTTACTATAGTTTACCCCAGTCGTAATGTTGCTATTCCAACACCTCACGACAAGTAATCCCCATTGGCATAACGCCAAAAACATCTCTTCCTTCAAGTAAACAATAAACAGTCTGTTCTTGTTCCATTTATAATCGAAAAAAGCGATCAATTTTCGAATTTTAAGCTTATCGAGAGCCTTTGTGATGAATCACTGATCTAATTATAGAATCCAACAGCAAACAGCCAATCAGAATGCCGCGTTCGTGGGCGAACGCGGAAAGTACAAAATACCGGGCCTTGCTTGCAGGCCCACTATCAGTTCCCTTGGGCCTGCACGCGGGCTAGTGTTATTGTCGATGACCAACTTAAATGGAATTCGCATATAAATACGGTTGCCACCTAAGTATCAAAAGACATAGGAATGATTCGACGAATGAAAGCTTTTGTACCCCAATCAACCCTTATTTCTGTATACAATTCAATTATCTTGCCCCACTTTGACTATTGCAGCCTTATTTGGGATATAGGAAATGCATATTCGCTCGAAAAACTCCAAAAACTGCAAAACAGGGCTGCAAGAGCCATAACTGGTAAATCATATGATGTCAGATCTAAGGATATATTAGAAGAATTAAGCTGGCAGCCATTCATGGAAAGATGGGGTAATAATAAGGCGATATTTATGCATAAAGTTACGAATGGTGAATACTTAGAAAATATATCTAGCTTGTTTGTCGTTAAAAATAATGACAATTATAATTTACGAAATAATAATATCGATTATAAATTAGAAAAGCCCAAAACAAACTTTTTAAAAAAAGCATCAGCTATTCAGGTGTAAAAATTTGGAATGAATTACCAGTAGAACTGAAAAGCAATTGCTTGTCATTAAACGCGTTTAAAACCTTGCTTCGGGACAGACCTCAGCATAATACTTAAGTCTCATCATATTATGTGGTGTAATGTGTAATATGTAATGTGTAATGTGTAATGTGTAATTTGTAACTATATACTAATTGTAATTATTAACCCAAACTTTTTTGGTAAATATGTATTGTGCAACGGCCCCTTGGAAAACAGCTCTTATCTATGTTGAAGGGCTACCGTTGTTTTTTAAAGAAGATTAAATAATAATAATTATAATAATAATAATAATAATAATAATAATAAACGTAAACAAACAAGACTTTAGTGTATATAAAGACAACGACGTAAGCGAATTTCACTTCGAGAATCATGGAATGCATTCACAGTTCTCAGGGAAATCGCATTCATGAATAGTACAGTATGAATGATTTTGAATGATGTTATTCTTTTATATATCATGAAATTTCGGTAAACTTGAAAGAATATAAAACGAAACTATACTTCACTATCGACAATGACTTTAATTTAATTAATCACAGAAACTTTGACCGTATAAGTGAACCTTTAAAGTTCAGAAGATATCTCTATTTTCGGCAAGTTGTCCGTTCGTCAAACCGTCCGTTCGGCAAACTGTTCGTTCGGCAAAACGTCCGTTCGGCAAAACGTCCGTCGGCAAAGTGTCCGTTCGGCAAAGTGTCTTTCGGCAAAGTGTCTTTCGGCAAAGTGTCTTTCGGCAAAATGTCCGGCCACCCAAAACCTAGACGATAACGCGTTTATAGCGCCTGATTTAAAAAAATGTAGATGTACGCTCGCGATCATACGGGAAATCAATACAAAAATATTGTCCGACCGATTTTGCAGAAAATCAGTCTCTCTAAATGCGTTATCTTATAGGTTATGAAATAATACATTATCAACAAGAGCGGAAAAGAGTTTTCCAACAAAAACGTAAAGCAGAAAAGAGAAAATGTAGCACTTTTTAGTTTTATTGCAGTCAAATTAGATTTACTCAAATTTGTACACGCGACATAGGGAAAAATTTCAAACATGGATATTTTCCGTTTTAGGTCGAAATTTGAAAATCCCCACGACAAAGTTTTAGATTTTAATGTGCTGCATCATAATCTTTTGGTTTTAAATTTAAAAAGCTAAAATTGAATGTCACGGAAGCCCGAGAAGACGGCAATATTTTCTAGCTCGCCTTGGTGTAAATTTCTCGTTTCCTGCATTGTGATTAGCTGAGAGCGAAAATGTAAACAAATGCGCTGATTGGTCGAGCACGAAATCTGCCCTTGTTGACTCCAATACAAATAATACTATTGACATGTGTCAAAATTGCTTGTCTGATACTATAACATTTCAAACACTTAGAGTATGAATTTACCGTTTTGAACGAAAAAATATCATTGAAAACGATATGGATAGGCTAAGGCATTTGAAATTTAACCCTTTCGACTCAACAAGGGCAAATAATGTTAGCCAATCAGCGCGTTTGTTTACATTTTGCGTCCTTGACCAATCAGAATGCTTGAAATTCGAAACGTATAAACAAAAGGAGTGAGAAAATAACACCTTGTTCTACGCCCTCCGTGACATTCAATATTAAACTTTTTACTCCAAAACTGAGAAATTCTGATAAAGCATGCTTTCTTCTTTAATTTCCTCGGGGGGATTTTTTAAATTCGATCTAGAACGCGAAATATTTATGTTTGAATAACAGTGTTTTAACGCGCGTAAAATAGCATACTCTCACTTGCACTATCTTAACACACACATAAAAAAAATGGTAGATTTGGCAGTTTAAACTTATTTCCCCCACACCACAGCCGTAATATTTTTAAATATTACCTATACTAGTATAACAAAAAGTTAGTGAAATTGCTGCCGTACGTGTATTCGCATTGCAAACTTGCAAAAAAGTTGGTGCCTTGATTACCTTATGTTTGACATGAAGGCCTGGTTACCAATAGCATCTCAACATCAGTACTAGCCATAGACTGCGCGCAATCCCTAATAAATAGAGGGATTGCCGCTTTAACTAATTGTCAAGCGTGTTTGATTAAGCTCCGCCTACTTGTTTATATTTCAAAACAGGGTCAAAAACATCTCTTGAAAGGCGCGGTCTCGAATGACTCAATTCGCTTAGGGCAAAACCATCAAACAACGTGTATATTCTCAAATTTCAGTCTGGCAAGTATGAATATTCATAATCAGAATTTGTCTGGCAGGGTTTATTGAAGGGTCTATTCTATAGACTGTGACTTTCTGCGACAATATTTTGACATAGTTTAATAGTTTACAGTAATAAAAAATTACCAACTTAATACAGCTATTAAGCTGAATTACATGGTTAAGGTTTACAAGAAGTGTTTATAATTTATATAAACTAAACCTCTATGCCTCTATGTTTACAAAGCTTAAAATTTAAACTTGAAAACATGCAAATGTATACGAATGCTATAAAAACTATGAACTATGAATTAAAACGTTTAGAACTTGCGATTATGAATGTGTTCATGTATCTATTAGTCTTAATTATTGGAAAGTCAAAGGTTCTCTTTGTCCTCAGGGATTAATGTGCAGTATTTGAGTTCAAATCCGGCAATAGTGCCGCGAAGTTTGTGATTTGGATCTTCAATGATTTCTGTATCCGTTCAATGTCTTTACTCAGGTAATTTGTGATTCCGTAATGAAAAACGGGCAATGCATATTCTACTATCTAGGTCGGATGCAAGTACAATAAAAACAAATCATCTCAGCAGCGGGTACATTCGCACGTTTTAACTGACGTGAAAATACAATCTTTTAGAGGCTTTCTTAATTAATGATACATTGGTACTGTCAATATGACTATTCCATTTACTGTAAGATCAAAACAATACATACAATATACAATATACGATACATACATACATATATTTACAAAGACATACTGTACAATATTATAATAAACCCAAATTCCATAAACTCACCAAGTCACCATGTATTAATTAGCCTAACTGTGTGGCATTCATCAACGACTATGAGGGACAGTTCGTTTCTGAATGGCGAGCTTTTATCTTCATTTATCTTCAACTGAGTTCAACAAGGCAACAAATTCAGGAGACAAAGGCTCAAAGCTTCATCAGCAGACGCATACACAAATATCTAAAAATTGTTTTCCTTGATCCCACTATAAGAACGGCCGAGTTAATATTTCCAAAAGCGATCATCCTTAATGCAAAGTCGTTGGACCGTAACTGTTCATCAATAATGCTACGAAGAGGAACGATTTAAATACTAGAATACTAGTTGGGCTTGAACAAACCCTTCGAATATATCTTCAGCCAACAGGAAACTCTTTCCAAATCCCGTACGGCCGTAGGAAGGACAGCTAGAACATATCTACCTTCAAGTAGGCACTCTATTGCAAGCGTTTGTTCCTGTAAGCTTGTTGTAAGACTTTCAACTACATACGTATCAATTTTCGTTGCTTCCCTCTGCCAGATAGATATTACAGTGCGTCTACTGTAAGTGGGGCCACTTAGAGAACACTAACCAATCGCATTGCAGAACAGAAAGAAAAATCTAATCAAACTAAAGCTCGTCCAATCAAAAGAAAGATTCAGGAAGCCATTAACTGCAATGTTTACTTTTACATGTCTATTTTTACCGTTTGACATTCGTTTATTTGTTCGATTTGTTTTTGCCCTAATGCTGATTGGCTAATGCGCCGTTTGTTGATTTTTTCACTTTCTGTTCTGCAATGTGATTGGTTAGTGTTCTCTAAGTGGCCCCACTTACAGTAGACGCACTGTAATTTCGGCAAATGTCTGTTTACAGTATAAAGCCAGCTGAGTGATGGGTTTTAATGTTATCAGAATATTTATTGTTTTTTAACCAATCAGAATTTCCCGTTGTCTGTGCAACGGGAAAATCAAACACGCTTGACAATTAGTTAAAGCGGCAATCCCTCTATTTTTCCTCTTGTCTCCGCCCCTTTTTGCCATTTTCCCGCGCGTTCAATCTTAGTCCGGGAAACAATAAAACGAAGGAAAATAGAGGGATTGCTCGCAGTCTATACTAGCCAGTACCATGGCGTCAGCATTTTGATGACGAATCATGTGGTAGCATCATGTGGCAGCTGCAATGCTTTGCAGGTAATCCACAACCAAATTTCAACTGCAATGCTTTGCAGGTAATTCACAACCAAATTTGTTAATTGTTCTGAATATAGTACTAATATAGTGATGGGTTGTAGGAGGTATTTGAGTAGTTGTAATAAAATAACTTTGCAATACTCTACCAATAAAAAGTTATATATTTGGCCAGCCTACTAGCCATAGGCTCTCTCTCGCACGCACTATTCTTGGTTCATAGGGGTACGAAGGGGTACTTGTGGGTTATTACCCATTCTAATAACAAGTAGGTTTAACTACTGACATGTAATTTTAATAGTTTGTTTGGCCAAGTAAAACAGTGAATGCAATGTTTTAAAGTTAATATCTCATTTATTTCAAATGTCAATTGTCAAACACTTAAACTGATCTGGACAAATTACCAAATATTGTAAACAAACCAAATACCGTAACGTCCGATTATAAGCCCTGGGCTTATATAAGTTTGTAAGCGTTTGTTGATGGGTTTATACATGGGGGGGGGGGGTATATACAAGGGCTCACATCAACATATTTATATGATTTAATCGAGAAAAGAACGTCTGATGCCTAAATAGATCATTGCTTCTCACACTATAACTACAGTATTAAAATGTGCACCAATTCAGGCACGATATTGCTCAATTGTTACCCCCATTAAACTAAATGCAATATATTCTATCACTGCCACTTGATCTATCAGCAGCAGTATTAAATAGAGGTCTGTAAAATTTGCAGTGTTATATATGATATACTGTAGCTCTGAGTCACGTGATACCTTCGTACAACGGCTCTCGTTTCTTTTGATGGCAATTGGCTCTCGTGTTTCTATTTGTTTGTTTACAATTGATGCAAATTTTATTTGAGTTGCCTGTTGCCACACCGTGACCAACACGCAAAGTGTCTGATAAATATATTGATCAGCTACAAGCGTGAACACAATGATTCCCAACACCAAATATGCACTGTCAGATTTATAAAATCAAACGCGAGCCTATATAAATATATAAATACAAGAACAAATCGTCAAATCTCCTGAAAATTCTTCTTAAACTAAAAGGATCGTAGATAATACTTTGATCTTACCTTAAAAAATGACTTTACAAGAAGATATAATTCTTAAAAATCGCAATATTTGCTAAATACTTGCCAACTTGTAAGTTTCGCCCTCGTGCTAAATCTTGGCAAGTCCCGAAGAGCAGCCGGTAGCTTCTGTAAAAACCCGTCGAATCTTCTACGTCACAAAACGTCATAAAACTGAACATCCAAACATTGCTCAAATCCAAATCATTGTCGCATTCATATAGCTCGGTAAAGAGGTCTGGGAACAAA